AAATTAGACCTAATGTACAAAAACTAATACAAATTAAGTAATTAATGTATATTTCTTCGGAAATATGTATATTATTAATATTATTTAATATGTTTATTGTTAAACACAAAACACACAAATGTATTGGAATTTAAAAAGTTATTATAATTTAGCAAGAAACCATAAAACAATTAATGATTAATGTTAAACATAAACCTATAATTCAATTCAATTCATTAGACATAAGAAATAACTTTGAAAAAATTAATTGTGATTTAAACTTTTAAAAATACAAACCAATGATAAAATTCTAATCTTAATGTCGATAACTATTGTTTAAATAATTATAATTTTAGATATGAATTTGCAAAACAAACAAATAAAACTAAAATTGTTAGTTATATATATATACAGTAAATATTGAGAAATTGATTGTCAAACTCGTGTCTCAAACTCTATTTCTAGTGTCTTGGGTGTGATTATACATCAAATTTAGCCAATTTTGACAAAACAATTGTTGCCATAAAATAACATAAAATTAATTGTAATTATAATAAGTGCCCGACATTTGGATTTTGAAAAAAGTCAAAATAAAATTACAATTATTTGTAAATATGAATACATTCTGTCTTTTTATTTATTTTTAAATCAAATTACTTTAATATCGGTTTAAATCAGTGTTTTATTTAGACTCTTAAAGTAATATACATGGATTAACTTAATTGAATAAATTACTGATAAGGGATTTAAACAATTTGGTAATATTTGGTTTAATAAGTATTAGGAAATTAAAGTAATAATATCGTAATAATCTATTATTTATTTAGTATTAAATCTATTGAGAGAATTAAGAAAAGTAAAAGTTTTTACTTTCATAAAATTATATTAAAAACAATTATCAAACACAACATAATAAGTAATATTTAAAATTAACTTTTTCTTAATTAACATTAATTAAAATTTTTAAACAGTAATAGTGTTTAATTTAAAAGCTTTAAAAAGTTATATATCACTAAAACAATGGATAAATAATTAAAAGGCTCATAAAAAATGGTATCAATAATATTTTCATAGAAATAATAATTATAATAATTTGTCGCAAATATTGATTGAATTGATGCCTCTAATGATGCCAATGGACGGGTGGAAAACAGGTTTGCGCTTCTGGTGCTTATACACAATCAATTGCGACAACTCTTCATTTGTGATCATTTTGTCTGAAGTGTTGTGGAGTTCCAGTGAATCCAATTTCGGGCAGTTCTTCACAAGTCTATAGAGACTGCAATGAGTTGTGTCCACAGAATCCAATAAAGCGATTGATATGACCGTCAATTTCGGGTGTTTTGCCATTAGATCCATCGCTTGACCGCTGATGTCGGCGTTGGATATCTTTAGAACTCGAAGTCGTGGCAAATGTGTGTCAATACCGGTGAAGAACCTATCGGTGAGGGCTTTCGTTGACTGGGGATTGAAGTGCAGCTCCAAGTGATTGATATTTGGGTTCTTCTGCAGTGTTTTGCTCACAAAATCGCAATTGTTTTCAGTGAAGAAATTGATTTTCAAACACTTCAGACTTGGGATACCTATGCCTTTGAAAACTGTATGCAAATTGTAGATTCGGTTCAAGAAATTGATTTCAATTTTTGCTAATTTGCGACATTTGTGTGACATTTCACGCAATGTTTTGTTCAATAGTGTCTCGCATTTAACCATTGATTTGATGCCAAAAGTTAGGCTAATGTGTCGCAAATCTCCGCAACGATCCAAGAGTTGTGTCATTAATGTCTTCAATAATTTCTCATCTTCGCAATCAAACGTTAAGTCAATTGCTTGTAATCCGTGTCCAATGAATGGTATCTTTTTATTCATCGCCGCATATGATGTGATGTGAAGTGATAGGCGTTTAAGACTTTTAACCAAATCTGGACTTTCGATAAAATCTGTGATGTCTTGCGATGGCATTAATGGCATAGAAATGTGATTCAATTGACCACAAAATCTCAATGCGTTTGAATCGATGGCCGTTTGAGTCGAGAATATCAGTTGTCTTAAATGAGTGCCAAGTTTTGCCATCACTTGATACCATCTCTGGGTGTCTATTATTGTCTCGAAATCCATACCAAAGCCATTGAGTTGAATACAATTGCTGTCCAACGATCTCATAATCACATCCAAAATCTGTTCATTATCTGCAAACTTGGGTCCAAACACACAAATGGTATCAATTGATGGACACTTCCTCAGCAGTATTTCAAATGCATTCAAATCCAATGCATGTCTGCCATCAAAGTCTGTGGTCATGAGGTCTTTGTGAACACGATTACTCACAGACACCACCGATTGTCTTATAACGAGTTGTGTCTGTCTTTCAAAGACACATCTGTGGAACTGCTTGGACACCGACTCGAGTCGGACCTTATCCTCAAACGATAAATATTTGAGCACTTCTTGAGTCAAGTCGTCGTCAAAGCGTTTGAAACTAATTTTATATCTTTTCGTACACTTCTTGAGCTTCACTGAACTCATTGTAGGGCTGGAAGTGTTGACAAACGTGTGGTAACAGTGTATTCATATGCTGTCCATCACTCATATAATTACTACACTTTCACTGCAAGTATTTAAACATTTGATGGGATTATGAAAATATGTTTGAGTCATAAAAGTGGACGAGTATTGACTTTTAGAGAGGTCCGGGAGGCCTGGGGTTCAGTGAAACTAAATGATCACATTTCATAGTAATACTCATTGAATACTGTTTGACTGTAAGAGATGTTTATCTATAACATTGATGCAATCATTTATCACTGAATATATTGTAATTATTTAGATATTTTTACAATAAATTATTTTTGAGATTTCATATGAATATTGAATGAAAACTAATTTCATTAATCTTTTTAATACTAAAAAAACTAAAATTACAAAATAAATAACGAAAATGATTTCCAAAACTTGACTTTTATTAATAAATGTGAAATTAATTTATAATTAGTCTAAACTTTTATACAATTAATCGTATAATTATTCAATTACTCGATAAATACAATTGTAATTGAAATCCTAATTGTAATACAATATTGAATAATAGTTATAACTTTTATATAACATTAACATTATTTTCAATAACAAAAAACATTACAAATATATTGTGAATATAATAGAAAAATGAAATAATACTCAATAAATTAAATGATAATTATTTGACAAATATGTTAACATGAAATAAAATACATATAAATTGGTTAAAATGTTTATTGATATGTATGTTTTATTGGATATTTCGTTGTATATCCTGCTCTCATTATATAAAACAATTTTCATATTATTTTATATTTTTATTTATATTTAATATTATATTTTTGAGAAATTATTTTCTCGACAAACAACTCAACATAATGCTTGTTATAATAGCATACAAATGGATAAATGGATATTTAATGAGTTTATTTCATTCACTTTTATGTATAACTGTTTACTACAATACTGTATATACAGTAATAATGGGATAAAATTATTGTCTTAAACATCAAATGCTTTCATACATTATATAATTTAATTCAGATTTTCAATAGAAATATCAATACTATTTAAATTTAAAAAATTAAAAGAAGTCTAATTTGGTTAACTCATTACATAATTATTTCGGAGAAATGATTTTAAATACAAATACAACACATTTTATATTCAAATATGTTTCATATTAGAGGTTTGAATTGTATTTTCCATTAAAACTCACTCTTTGCTTATAATATGTTTCAGTATTCACTAGTCTTTCATTAAATCTCTAAAGAATTATAACTTATTATTAAGTATTACAAAATTTCTGACATTTTTCTCTTTAAGGCTATTAATAATATTATTGCTAATACTATAGCAAAACATTCATATTGAAGCCATTATCTAAACTTTTAATGTTTAGTTATCATTATTAACATAAAACATATTATATTTTTATGGTATTTAATATTACACAGAACTCTAAGTATTAATAATATTTTATCTAAATTTACAATTAAATTTTGACAGAGTTTTTAATATGAATTTTAATTATATATTTTGCGTGTAATTTGTATTTATTATACATCAACTTCTATGTGAAGTATTGTTTTAATAATTATAATTATTTGAAAGCAATGTATCAAATATTAGAGTATATCTGAGCCATAATTATCTATCAATTATTTCTAAAAATGCTTAAAATTACTGCAAAACATAATTTTGAAATTTTGAACTAATATTTATAAATCCCATTTACTGTCAGTTTTATCATATATAAAATAAACAAATATGATAGTTTTTGATATTCAATTGCTATTCAAATAAAAATGCATAACATTTAGCCACCAATTAATTACCTGCAAAATGTTTGAATGCCTTTTTTGTTAGAGACATATCGTTGCATATCAAATGTTGAATTTATAGTTGTAAAAATTATTTTTAACATTCTTTACATACAGAATACTGTAATAAACGAAAAAATACACATTTTCCTACATTATATGCAAATAAACAAAGTTTTGTTTTCATAATTACAATTGTATCTAATAATAGTAAATAACATTTTAATATAATATATCAATATACAATATAATTGTCACCACAACTATCGGGGTGTGAATTTAGCACGACATGAACCAATGATAGTACTGGCAGAGTAGCACTGGTAGTCTCTCACTGTAATGGTATATGTATTTACTGAACGACACACCGGGCCTCTAAAGAATTCTTGATTTCAGAGATCCTATGCTCGAGTGAATTCTTGAATTCTGTGCAACGATTAGAAAATACAGAAACAAAATCATAATATAATTCAAATACAATTGATATTTGATGTTTGAATTGAAGTTATAGCGACAAACAAATTGCATCCACTCTATAGAAAAACAATAAAATGTAAATTCAATTCGTGTTCCCCTTTAGCCCTTATACTCACAGTCAGTATTGAAAAATTGACAAAAAATATTTTTTCAATATTTTCGCAAATGTTTCAAACATTAGGGAATCAAATGAGTGGATAATTTAAATAAATAAATATTTATTAAAAATACTTTTATAGCGAAACAAAAACTTCAAATTATTTGATTTTAAGTGAATGTTATTTTGCTTAAGTTAGACAATACAATATATTAAAGTTTAAGTATTAGTTTTATTCATATTTGATATTATTTAAACAATAAACTTTTAAATGGACAATAATTTGTTTTAAATTTCTTTTTATAAAATCTATTTTTTATTTGTTTTATTTATTTTTATTTTCTTAATCTGAATTCATTTAACTTTAAACTTAAAATCGCTTAAACATCTAATGATTTTTTGAAATTATATGACTTGTCTTTTATAATAGTGATTACCACTAAATTACTTGTGTATTAAGAATGGACTGTGTTTTATAGCTAAATATAAGAATGAATTTAAATAATCCGAGAATTAAAAGAAATAAAAACAAAATAAAAAAGTCTATTATTCATTATCAGATAAAACATATTAAAATATGCATTAAAATTTAATGATTTTCAAACATTAGGGAATCAAATGAGTGGATAATTTAAATAAATAAATATTTATTAAAAATACTTTTATAGCGAAACAAAAACTTCAAATTATTTGATTTTAAGTGAATGTTATTTTGCTTAAGTTACAGTAGACAATACAATATATTAAAGTTTAGGTATTAGTTTTATTCATATTTGATATTATTTAAACAATAAACTTTTAAATGAACAATAATTTGTTTTAAATTTCTTTTTATAAAATCTGTTTTTATTTGTTTTATCTATTTTTATTTTCGTAATCTGAATTCATTTAACTTTAAACTTAAAATCGCTTAAACATCTAATGGTTTTTTGAAATTATATGACTTGTGTTTTATAATAGTGATTACCTCTAAATTACTTGTGTATTAAGAATGGGCTGTTTTATAGCTAAATATAAGAATGAATTTAAATAATCCGAGAATTAAAAGAAATAAAAACAAAATAAAAAAGTCTATTATTCATTATCAGATAAAACATATTAAAATATGCATTAAAATTTAATGATTATTTCCATTAATTGTATTTTATATCTACATTTATATTTGTAGATTATTATATAGTAGTGTAATACTCAACTTTATTTGTATATGGCAAAAAATATTGGATATTATTTTAGTTGACTCGACATTTTTGTGAACATAAATACATTAAATCATATACAATGTATTGTAAAAAATTTTATGCGATATAGCGTTAAAATAATGGCATTATTAGGTATTTGTAGACTTTATAGGATTTAAAAATATTTGCAAAGATTAAATGGGATGTGGACAAATGCAAATTGATTACTCGCTATAATGTTCATGAATGTCATGCTAATACAAATGAGACTGACTTGTGAACTCATCCAGGTCTGCCTCCTCGGCCTCGGCGGCCATCTCCTCGGGGGTCTTCTTCCTGCGGTTGAGCCCACCCTCAGAACAAACTGAGTCCTGTTTCTTGATTTCTATGGACTCTTCGCGACTGATTTGCTCTTTCTTTTTAATATTGTACTGAAAAACAAGACACAAAACAATCACATCATTTACTCAACGAAAGACAGTGTATAGTAATTATTAGCGGACAGGGAGGGCACAGACATAGTGTGTATGTGTGTGTGGAAAGTGGAGAAGCGTGTGATTACCTTATCTCTAATCCCTTTCCGCATCTTTTCTCTCTCGTCCTCCAGTTTCTTGTGTTTCTCTCGTCGTCTGTCTTCTTGTTCTCTGCGTTTGATTCAATAAAAAGCCGTAAAAACACATAAGAAATACATACAAAAAACAAAAGCCCAGAAGTTTTAGTTTTCATTCATTGGAGAGTATTTGAAATAATCGCTGCCATTGTTTGTGATTTATATTTAATTGTATTAAGGCTTTAGATTTAATGAACACTAAAAAAGCGAAATAAAAATCATTGAAGAGTTTGAGTGAATAAAAATAAGAAAACGCTAGACTTTGCTATAGATTTTGTACACTCCCTTTAATGTCTACCGAAAATAAATTGATTCATTAAAACAAGTATTCATTAAAGAAATTCTTCAAAAAATATTCTGTAAACAAAGGATAAGGATAAGGGAAAGGGAGACATATTTTCATCGATTAACTTCACAAACGCCTAATAAAGCGATGACTAAATTGAAATATATTTGCGAAGCATTCCGAAAGTCTTTATTTAATTATTTGCAATAAATAATTGATTAGAATTGAGACATAGTATCACTTCATCACAAAATCATAGGCTTATGGCTGTTGTGTAATATCGTAGGGAATGGTAGGCGATTGAGGGCATACCTGAGCGCTTCCAGTCGTTCCTGTTCTAATTGAGCTAATCTTTCCTTTTCTTCAGGTGTAAGGCTTTCCCCACCGCCACCGATATCTGAGATTAAAATAAAGTACTTTACGTTAGGATATTATATGAACTTAATTCAGACTATATTTATATATCGTATCGCAGAGAATATTCAGTGACTTATGAATTATTGAATATAAATGAAGTTTTATCTCCACAGCAATGGCTGTAAATCTATACACTGTATAGTATACAGTAAAATAAGTGGACATTGAAAATGAGTTCCTTTATGTATATTACAAGGCAAATGTATTATCACCTGATTATGGCATTATAATGCATGGCATATAAATATTTGAGATTCAAATACACAATACATTACATAATATATTACATAAAGATAATAAGAAATTTGAGCTCAAAATATATGTGAGTCCGGGAAAAGTTGTGTTTTTTATTGACAACATAATGAACTCAGTGTTTGAGTGAAAGTAAAATACATTTGTGAGTATAGAAAGGGAACGGTAGGCACAGAAAAGTTGATGGCCAACCGAAACGCTAATAATTGAAAGGCATTACAGAAATAATGGCAAATGAAGAAAATATTTGATCGGATAAATGAAATACTTTTTGACAGATAAGTCATTTGCTCTTAACTTCTCATATATCCATTCAGAGAAAGAAATGGTTACAAAAAATAACATAATATAATATCGAGTATCGATTTTTTATTAATAATTTGTGACAAAAAATGTTTTTATTTTTTTCGACTTCTTATTTCGCTTTCATTTCTATTTTGACAAATATTTTAATAAATCTATTTCTAAATGTGATTATATCTGAAACACATATCTCGTAGTGTTTGGACGTCTTGGGAGTAATCCATTGCACACTTGAATTCATCAATTGAATGGCACTGTAGGTCGGTGTGCACTGGCGTACAGGCGCCGCACAGATGTGCCTGACATTAATTGATGGCCACTAATATATACTAAAAAAACTATACTGAACCCGTTTATTCTTAGAAATGTGTTACTTAAAATATCATAATATTGTATTTTAATATATCGCGAAATATTAAAATACTGAAAGATATGTTTTATATAAAACACAAAATTTAAACTAGAATAAATTTTAGAAATATCGTTTACATACATATGTGATCCATGAGGTCAGTTATTATATGACTATATTTTTTAAGAATATTTGCATTATTAATAATACTAATAAAATATAAAAACCTCTTAATATATTAACTTTTATGAAAAATTTGTCTTAATGTTACAAAGTATTCACTCAATGTGTTATGTGTTCTCTGTACTAGGTCAAAACAATATAATCATCAATAAAATTATTGTAATTTAGATATTAATAAGAATATTTTAATATGACAATATTTTGTTTTATTACACATCAAACCGTATTTAACAGAATAATATCCAATTAGTTATTGTCTAATGGATGTGTAATTGCAGTGCATTTCTATGTGTCTACTGATCGCACAAACTGTGTGTTCAATGCAGAAGAAAGTGAGCGAAACATGTGCTGAATATTTCTCATCAATTCTTTCATGACTTGAATAGTATTTCATTTAACGAATGATTGATAGCGTATTCACACAACAGTATTGAAGAATTTCTCACTTATTTCTCTTCACTCGGAAAGCAATATTCAAATCATTTTTATATACGATTTTACTCTC